AAAAAAAAAAAAAAAAAAAAAAAAAAAAAAAAAAAGGAAGAATGTATTCCCTTGAATCAGTGATCGTAGGGTGGTTGGCATCGGTGATATGCACGTTGGTCGACGCCACTGACTATTTGGACGATTATTCGTCCGTGTATTATGCCGATGAATCAGGCACTGATTACAATGCCACGAATTGCACCAATATTTATTGCATCTCGAACGAAGAGTACGTGGATCGTATGATGAACTATATATTCCCCAAGTTTTGGGACTGGGTGTTGATCGCGTCGCACAGTATCATCTTTATAGTCGGCCTGGTCGGGAATGTTCTAGTTTGTATCGCGGTTTACAGGAACCACTCGATGAGAACGGTGACGAATTACTTTATCGTCAATTTAGCTATCGCCGATTTTTTAGTTCTACTGCTTTGCCTTCCGTTTACCGTACTGTGGGACATCACGGAAACCTGGTTTCTAGGTTTAACCCTGTGCAAAGCCGTGCCATATCTCCAGGTAAGACGAATCACGCTTCACTTACTTGATTAAACGTCTAAAAATTTTACAACCACACTTTTCGTCATTCCTTTCTGAAGAGCATCCCTGAGGATGATTAGATGATTTCTTTTAAATCCGTTGGATGTGCGAACGAATATTCTCCATTCACCATGCATTTCGATTTTCGCAACCGGTTGAACTTCTCTGCGATAATTATTTTGAAAGTACGGATCGAAGATGCTCGACGTAGCAAAGAGCAACAGAACAACTGAAATACAACTTCGAAGCGACTCGTCGACAACATTTGCGTCGCGTGAAAATTCGCGACCTATTCAACAATTCATGGCATTCCATTCTTCGAGTTTGCATAGGTCGATCAAATTTTAGGGAAATTTTCGCGATATAAGTGGATCGAAAGACTGAGAAAGGTGAATCTGGCAAAGGTCTGAACTTATAATGAATTCAGAAGTCGGGGCGGCGTTACTTTAGAATTTTAATATTCTACTTCCACTTCCATCTGCTCGTCGAGCACGTTTTTACGCGTGCTCGCTGATTAGGCTGATTCAACGTTGAAACACGAAAATCGTGGCGTTGAATTAAAGGCAGCCGCTTTAATTTCCAACGAAGGTTGTGAGAGTGTCTTTTTTAATCATGAAATCGTCCGCGTCGTTGGTACATTCGTGCCCCAAATAATACCCCAAACTCGTCTTACGAACGCAGGTATCTTTAGCCAAGTTTTAATTAAGTCGATTACAATATCCCTGTTCGCGTGGCCAGTAGCTGATAGTATCAGCCTTCGCGATATCGCATTCGCCCCGAAAAATTTTCTCGACTCAACGACGTAACTGGGGAGCTTTGATGGTAAATCAAATTGTCCTCTGATGTTGAAATTTTGCAATTATTTTGATGCTCGTGGTCGGAGGTATTTTCTCAAGCATCGCGGACGAAACAACCGTGCTCCTTTCCGTTCACTCTACCCCTAACTTTCTACCGCAATTTGCGCGCTTGTTTCTTAATTAATATAATTGTTCTTTTCTTAGATTGCGTCTTTATGCACTTGCGGTGTTTCTAGTTCGTCGGCATTTCAACAGATGGCTCGATGCTGGCAATGATTCTCGCATTCGAATGACTGCTTAAAACATAACATAAGCCTAGCGCGAGATTTCGTACGTTTAAAAAGGGTGCTCGCTACTTAGATAGCGCTTCAGCACGGTTTAAATGCCGTGTTGGCGGGGTATGGCCAATCAAGACATACCCAGTACGTAATTTTTGTAAAAGCGAGGCTGTTGGCTGCCAATTTTTGCACTAACGCCTCCATTTGCTTAATTGTCAAATAAGTAACAAGTGTTTTATAGTGTTATGTCATACAAGTACTTGGCGAAATCATTTTTTGCTGTTTCCATTATTAATGAATAAAGTTTTATTATTGTTAGTCAATTTTTAATATTATCGGTAAAATATATTATAAACGTGTTTTGTATGTAAATTAAAAACCTGATATACAGAGTATAAAAATTCGACAAAAAGTTTTTTGATTCTACGTGTGAAAATAAGTCGGGGGGGGGGGGGGGGGGGAAATAAAATAAAATTTTTCCATGTGACGCCTTCGTTTTTCGAGGAAATTGAGTTTGCAAAGTCCCAAGTACGTGCCAAGGCGACTTTTAATGAAACATACATTCAAAGTTTCTTTTCTTAAAAACGAAGTTGTAAATGAAACAATTTTACTCCACACTTTTTACTTATTTTTGCGTGTAGGATAACTTCTTGTTAATTATTCTCCTCCATCGTGCCCGAAATTAAATTCGAATTTTCAACTCAAATTCGAATCTCCAGACTCGAGTTTCTCGAATCCTGGTGCCACGATTTCGGAGAAACCCTCTATACGCATAATGCGGGAATAATCAATGCATCGCGTCGTCCTGTGCGTGTCAACGAACAGATTTAAACGTTGCATTGCGCGTGGCCGGCATGCGAACGCCTTTGCCTACGTTACAGCAAATTTCTATTAAGCTCGCATTTGATATTGTTGAAATATAAATGATTAGCTACAAAAAAAAAAAAAAAAAATACCAGGAACCGCAGTGAAATTTGCATATAAACGAACCGACGTTCACGGACGAAAGTAAAAATTCATTATCGCCGCAAACGCCTGGTTCTTTTACGTTTCACGCAATGTTCGAAGGAGGACAAGCCGTTCCGGGTCGTTCTACTTTTCACTTCTGATCCGCGATACCGTCGACGCTCGAATGAATTGTATTCGTATTTCTGGATGTTTCGACGTCACGCGGGGAGGGAGGAATCGATGCAACCCCCAAACAAACGAAAGGAAATGTGCGGTTTGATCGTTGGCAAGTTCGCGAGTTTCATCTGTTGCTCAATCCACTCGCCACTTGATGAAATCTGTCTTTATGCAACCGTGTAACGTAACACGCGACTTCGCCGCCGGATCTTCTTCCCTCATTTTTCTCCGGTATCGCCAGATGTTAGCAGACCGAATGAATGGTCGTGTCGTGTTCTCTGTAAAAAAAAAAAAAAAAGAAAAAGAGGGAGAAAATGAACGGCGCGTTTGTAATTCAAAGTGAGACACGAGATCCGAGCAATCTCGTAGCGCGGGAAATGCCATCTAATCGAATGGAATAGACGCTGCGAGAACGTTGGCAAACTGTGTCAGCGTAACAAACGAACTTTCTGATCGGTGTTATTCCACTCGATAAAACGGAATTACACGACGAACGACAAACCTCGCGAATTATCGATCTCTCGGGGAAACAAACGCCGCAGCCTCGGGATGGATGGCTAATTAATCCCGCAGAGGAATCGGACGCGTTTCGCGATGGAATTTAATAAAATTAGACGAGCAACACGGGAGGCAGGGAATAAAGTTTAGAAACTTTATTGCGATATTACAAAGAGGCAGCTAGAATACAAAAGGGCGGAATATTTCGGTACAAGGGGTGGCCGTAACGACAACGTTACGTAAACGTTGCTTTACAGTCCTATTGTTGGTGTATTGTTTCGAGGCTTTGGTGTTCGTTGCATGATAAAATGCGCGTTGCAAAGCGATGCGCAACGATCCATAGTTGGTCACAATTATCGTCGCTCGTTGGGGACCAACGTTAACGCCGGTGTCGCGCTCGTTAAAACGAAGCCACGGGGAAGAAAGGGTTCCGCCTCTTCGAGGAGGAATCTCCGCCGTTCCATTAACGTTGCATTAACGGGTAGATAGAGACGTCGTGCTCGTGTAACGCGACTCGAGCCCCAACAGATTTGCAAACGAAACACTGTACTTAACGAAGCGCAGGATTCGGTTTTCCGGTCAGGATGATCAACCTGTGCGGTCCGGAGCACGTGTGATCCTGAATCTAGTTAAAACTCCATCGACCAGTATTACCGCAGCCTTATACTCGTATAACGGTGGCACAGTTGCGTGGAAATGTCGTTCGGCTAGTTCATTACAATCACACCGATGTGCAAACTGGTGTGTGGAGGTACCTTCGTTAGGATGTACCAATATATGCTCGCACGTCTAAGCCAGCTCTCTGCTAGCGGCCAAATCGCATTATCTTGCACGTTGCACACCCGGATAACTTCCAGATCCTCAGCTGGCTCCGAGAAATTTAACGCATTAAGCTAAATTTCGTTTCGCTTTCGGAATAATTGTTTTTCATCTCGACTGGTTTTGTGTAACTTCGTTCGCGTTACGACCAACCCTTCGCCGGTTCGAACTCGTCGCGTGGAAGTTCGCCGTGAAAACACTTTTCGTCAGTGATGGGTAAAACCTGAGCGAAATTCGCCGAGATCGCGAGAGATGGAAAAACTGGGTGAAGCTCTTACGTACAGTGAGCAATGAAAGTAGTTCGAACGACATGATAGAAAATAATTGATTGCACAAAAATTGTGTAATAAATTGCAATTTATTAAAACAAATTGTTTTTATACTATTGTATATAACATTTGCTAAATATATGCAAAGTTAGAGAAAAATTAAACCATAAGTAAACAAACGGATATATAAAGCATAACAAAAGTATTCGAACGAAATTTTAATAGTCACGATAGAATGCAATATACGTGATTATATTGCATTTTAATATCTAGTTGGGCCACTCGGCTTTAATAACCTCTCGATGACGGTTTTCTATAATATTGACTAACTTTCTAGTAACACTTTCATACTCCATAGAGTGCCACGCAGCTAGGATATTTTGTTTTAAAGAATCTTTACTCGTTATATTATTTCTTTTCAGTCTCCTATCGAATTCTTCCTGTAAATGTTCGATGGGATTTAAGTCAGGGCTTTGTGGTGGGCTGGGTAATGTACGGGGTACATTATCTAAGATCCATTTTTGTACTATTTTGGCCGTATGTTTAGGGTCTCAGTCCTGCTAGAAGCAAAAATTTCTTGACACGTTTAATTTTTCGGCACTGTTGATTAACTTTTCTTTTAAAATATTTAAATATTTAGTTTTGTCCATAATTCCATCGATGAATACGAGATTTCCAGGCCCATTATAGCAGACATGCAGCCCCATACCATTACGGAGCTCCTCCACCGTGTTTCACTGTACTTGACTTCAAATTTTTTGAATCCAACTCCTTATTTGGCTTCCTCTTTACTATTCTCTCACCATCGGACTCAAATAAATTGAATTTACTTTCATCCGAAAAAAATAACAGTGTTCCAAAAATTGTTATGTCCTTATTTATATACTCTTTGGCAAATTTTAAACGAAGTAATTTATTCTTCTTGCTAACGTATGGTTTCTCCCGTGGGACTCTACCATGGAAATTGTTTTTCCATGACATTCTTCGACATAATTGAGCGTGCACTTCTTTATTAAAGTTTGTAACAACCATTGTCGCCAATTTTACAGCAGACGTAAACGGATCTTTCTTTATTTCACGCAGAAGCAATTTTTCCTCCCGTGGTGTTAATTTTTTTGGACGCCCAGATCTTTGTTCATTTGCAATACTTCCGTTCGTATTACACTTTTTTATTATATAATGAATTGTTGATTTGCTTCCGCTCACAAGAGAAGCAATTCCTTTATATGATTTACCTTCTTTGTGCAATTTAACAATAATTTCTCGTTCGAGTTTACTTGTCTCTGATGTTTTACCACTCATTACTTTGAATTACAGGTTAAACGTTTAACTTTCGGTTCCGATTTGCTCTCAAATACTGTTGAAAATGCACTGAAGATCTTTTTTGTTTACATTTAGACCTCGCGACAGTCTTGTGTTTACAATGTATAGTGTTTATAATTCAGCGTTCGAATACTTTTGTTACGCCTTATATGCACCTAACCGTGAAGAATGTTGTGTAATTTGTTTGTAACTTACTGTTTAATTTTTCTCTAACTTTGCATATATTTAGCAAATGTATATACAATAGGATAAAAACAATTTGTTTCAATAAATTGCAATTTATTGTACAATTTTTGTACAATCAATTATTTTCTGTCATGCCGTTCGAATACTTTGTATGTGCGCGAACACTTTTTTAGTGTAGGAAGTATACGAAGCAAAGACACCGAAGGTTTAACGCGTGCAGCTTTTAACGAGAATTTCACTGCTACCGTTGCTCTACGAACGCAGTGTTCATCGTCACGCTGTTTTATTACACGTGGCATAATTTCTTTGGCTACGGGCCGCAACCAAGCATTCAGGAAGTAAGAATTCACACGCTTAAAGCGGATATTTTTCGACGTAACCGTGCGTTCGAGTGTTGAATTTTTCAATCCTGGTAGAGTATCGGAACGCTGTTAGCTAAATGACTTCACGCGACATCCTTCTAATTATCCTGCTTACTGTATCTGATGACAGACACTTGTTTGACACCGGAACCGTGCAAATTAATCGATCGTAATCGCGCCTCGCCGTGGATGTCAAGTAGCATACCTTACGAAGCGAGAGCAATGAGCTTTTGAAATTTGGGCGAAGTTTTTTCAAACAAAGTTTGAAACGTTCTCTCTCCTGGTCTTTCATCGATAATTTATCGTATCTGAAATCTACATTCGTGTTGTTTAATTATCGGACACTGATTTAAAATACATGTTTATTTTTTTTTCTAAGAAGAAAACATGTTATTGTGCCAACAGCTTGTCAGATTTGTAGATTTGCATTTCAGATAAGATCACGGCTACCGTAACCAGAACATTTAACGATCCTTTTGATTGATACGCGTACGAGAGTACAATCGTTATGTATTCAACGATTTAAAAAAAGAAATAACTAGATTCGCCGGAACGAAGTATGTAACGAGGATTGTTTCGCTTCCTTGAACGTTTGAAATTCCGACGTGATTCCCCCGGGA